CCGGTGAGCAGGGGTTCCGGGCCGGAGCGGCTGCTCCCGCCGAGCGCAGGGGAGAGAGGGGCGGGCCGCTGCGCAGCAGCGCCGCCGCGCGGGGAGGAGCGCTGCGGGGCCCCCAAGGAAGCGCCAGGGCGAGTCTCTTTAAAAGAAGTTTATTGGTCATATACAAAATAAAGAAAGCCTCATATCAACAAACGTACACTATATACAGAAATAAATTAACAACACCTCCGCGGGGCAGCGCCCCTCACCCACAGATACCACCTACAGAGCGGGGAGGACAATAATTTATAATAAATACTGCTCGGCTGCACGGGGCCGCAGCACAGGGACGGCCCGCGCCGCTGTATTACACCCTGTCACGAGTCCGGGCCCAGCCGTGGCCGCCCACCGGGCCGTGGCGCCGGCTCCGATTCCATCTCCTAAAAGACTTGCCCGTCTCGGAGACTTCTTGGACCTGAAAAGAAGCGAGTTCGAGGCGGAGCGGAGCCCGCGGCCCCTCACCCCCGGGCAGCCCTGGGCCTGTGGCGCGTGCTCCCGCTATTACATCTCTGGTCACGTTCCGGTTTGACAGCGGGTGTAATAAGCTCCAGGCAGACTGCAGCGAGGTCAGACGCGGGCGGGCGGCTGCCCTGGGAGCACCTTGCTGCGCCCCACGGGGGCTGGAGGCCCCTTCCAGCCCTCAGCGCAAGGGCCGTGCGTGGCCAAAGCGCCCCAGACACCAGCCTGACCGCTGCCCACCTCCCCTGGCAGAGGGGCCTGCTCTGCCCCTCTCCCTGTCTCGAGTCCCAGCTCCCTGCCCTGCGGTAGGGAGCAGCTGCCTGCTCTGGCAGGAAGGGGACAGGGACCTCCCTCTGAGGGGAGAGCGTCAATCTTTGTTCCTGCCAGAAAGCCACAGCTGGGGCCGTGGGAGCACCGAGGGTCTCACTAGAGCGGCCACAGAGCCCCGGGAAGAGCGCACGGCCCTGGCTCCTGCCTGCACGCTGCAGTCTGCTTCGCACCCTCCCGAGAGCAGAACCATCAAGGCTGCACAACCCACAAGATCACTGAACACGATTCACCACAACACACACAAGTCCCCTGCACGCCTGGCAGGCCCAGGCTACACCAGGTGGATACACAGCACGTGTTTGCTTGGCAGCTGGGCTGGGAGCAGACCCTGCCCGCCAGGCGCACAGGTACTGGGGAAGGAGAAAGAAAACACGACACCCTTCACAGCAGGAACCAAACGGACGAGCACCTCAAACAAGAACCGTCACACTGCGGACGCGTACACGAGAGCGAGCGTGAGGAGTCAGCGTGGTGGCAGGCTCCAGCAGGGACCAACCCGCGGGCACGGCTGGGGCGCAGGGGCTGCCCAGGACAGAGAAGCCACCAAGCCCAGGCAGCGTGCAATGCAGAGCCCCCAGCACAGAGACAGCGCTGCCTGCGGGGGTGGCAGGCGCTCCGGGAGTCAGCAGCAGAGGGACAAGGGCGCCCCAGCTCCTTGCTCCCAGCACCACTGTCCCAGGCACCCCGCTCGGTGCCCCCTCCCCTAGGCAAGGCAGGGACATCCACCTGATCAGGGAGCAGACCAGCACAGGGAAGAGCAATGCTGGCCCTGTCCCCCAAGGCATGCCTCAGGCCCCCAGTTGCAGCCAGCAGGCTGGAGCGTGGCAAGCTGTGCATCAGGGCTGCAGCAGGATGGAAGTGGGTTTGCACTGGGGGCCGTGCCCTGTTAGAACACAGTGCCAGTACCACCGAGGTCGCAGGTTCGATCCCTGGTTGGACTAGATGATCTCGAGGTCCCTTCCAGCCTTACTTCTCTACAGTAACAAAGGGCTACCTGCTCTGGGCACTATGCAATGACTGACAAGGCCTCCCCCAGCCAAACCCTCCTGGACCCAGAGCCCGGCATCCCACAGGCAACAGGAGCAAATGCCAGTGCCTGGGCTGCAGGGGTGCAGAGACCTGCTCTATCCTCTTTGCTTCCCCAGGGGGGTTGCCCCCCTGTACCCAGCCTGGCTCTGAAGGGAGTCGGGAGCACCCAAGAAAGTTTTGCTGGCACCTTCTGGGCAGCTGGAAGACAACACCTCAGAGGCAGATAAAAGCCTGCGGAGCAGCACTGAACACTGTATGACCAGCCAGGGCCAGGAGGCCCCACGTCCCTACCCGGAGACCACCTACACGGAGACCAGAGACGGAAGCACAAGACACCCAGATCCCCCCTGCACCATGCCCTCCAGACCCACAATCAAGGCAGAGCAGCACATGCTCACCCCAAGCTCTAGAGCAAGGAGGGTCCCCCTCTCTCTTCCCCCCCACCAACCATCCCTCTGCCCTGGACCCTCCCCAGACTGCCCAGGACCAGGACATGTGTGCAACTGGTCGCACAAGGGTACCTGTGCAGCCTGCATTGCTTTGCACAGCGACCTCTGGGCTCACAACGTCCCTCGTCCAGCAGTTCTAACGCCCTAGTCCAGCCTCACGAGAACAACCCACACCAGCAGGCAGAGGGGAAGTGTCTGTGGAAGCAGAACTAGGCCTGGGCATGGCCAGAAGCTGCAGCAGGAAGGGGAGGCACCACCAGTGCCAGGGCTTCCCTCCCTGCCACACAAACCCCTGGCAGCAAGGGAGTGGCTCTCCCCTCCCTGCACAAGGCTCAAGGAGCTCGTGTCATGGTCTGCTGAGTCCTGGTCACAGGACTGAAGTGCTGCCCATCGGATCTCAGGGAAATCAGAGCCCAGAGCTGGTCCCAGCTGCACATGCCTGGGAAAGCTCCCAGGGCTTCGCTTCCTGCGCAAGCCCTGGGGGAAGTGGCCCATCACGTTCAGCAACACCCACTGGGAAGCTGGAGCCCTAGGCAGCAAGGGTCCCATGCCACCAGCTAGGAAGGAGCCCCTCTGCACACAGACCACACAGGGAGACTCCAGCCACAGCAACACCCACCAAGCGGCTTTGTCTTTGCTTCAGAAAGGTCAGCAGCTGCCCACGGGCCCTGAAGGAAGGGGGAAGAGTGGCCTGTCACTCCCCACACGTCACCCAGGGAAAGCAATGGAAGCACAAAGACAGGACACCCACACAGCAGCAGCAGCTACTGGCACCATCACATCACAGCGCCACGTGCGAGCTCGGACAACGCGACACAGCGGGACACGGGGGAAGCCAGCGAGCAAGCGAGCACGGGAATAAGTCACTTTCGGTACAATTGCAAAAAGGTATCAAACAGGACTGGCCTCTTTTTTGTCTTTTCTAAGTTTTATAAATAAAGTCCGACAACTCCTTATAAAAACCAAACCGGAGCCACCATCGCTTTGCAGGAGGTTCGTGAGAAACTCCCAAGTCCTTGCATCCATGTACACTTTCACTAGCAAAGCCTCCAGGAACATTTCCCCACTGACGTGGTCAAATACTCCCGTCCTCTCCAGTAAAAAAGCCAACTATAAATACATTCTCCTCTGCCCA